CACACACACACACACACACACACACACACACACACACACACAATGTTTTTCTCCCTCTAAATACTCTTACCATCCTCAGTACTGAATAAAGAAATAAACTGTAAAGAAGAGGCCCTTCATCACTTGGTTGTACTAATATAAGCCTATCTTTTGACCAAAACTAGCTGACATTCCCTAGACAAAATAATCTTAGTTGTATGAGTTGGACTGCAAACTATCTCCAAGTTGCATACGTCTTTTTCAGTGTAAGAAACTCATCATTGTTTTCCCTTCACAAATTGAGAAAATACATTCCAAATATTTTAAAGGAAGAAAGGTGTTTTTATTTATTTTTTTTTACCTTTTTTATTACAGGGAAATTGAGTCAAAATCGAAGGCAGCAATGTGAAATGATTTGTCTGAAACATGCTGCATTAGTAACAGCAATAGCTGTGAAAACTTTTCTGAATAATTCTTGACAATTTAATACCACGAAATCCAGCTCCTCTTTCTTTGCTGCAGAGCTTTTTAAAGTCAGACATGAATCAGAGGCCTAGAAGCAATGATACCAATTAGTGAAGTCCTGTGACATGTTTTATTATTCTGCTTAGAAAAGAAAAGGGACCCTGGAAATAGAAATTGGCGAGGGGAACATTCATCAGGGCTCAGCTAGTATTACTCACTGGATTATGTACATAATTTTCTTTATAGGTTTTACATAATAGCCTCATTTTGAGCAAAATTATGAACTGACCAGCAAAAATGTTAACCATCTGAAAAAAATAAAAAAGAAAGCTGAACACAGTAATAACGGGCAACAACTTGAATGAATTTCTGAGTTTGGGGTTGTAACCTTGTAGCTCTCAGACAATGTTGCTAGTTGGCAGAGGGTTTACAGTCTGGGATTAATTTATAATATATCAAAGCTGCATGAGTCTGTATTGATATATAGAACTGGTGTCCATGGTTTCTGCCCACTTGTTCCAGACTCAATGTCCTTAGGAGAGCAATTTATGTGTCCTTGATTAACATTATAGGAAAAGCTTTGATTTTTTTTCTTACTCAATATATTCTTTTAATTAGACACTACTACAGTTTATTTTTCCCCTCTAAAGTAATTGTTTTTTTTAAAGCTAGATAATAAAATCTGAATACAATTTGTGGCTGCAGAATTTAAAAAGCAACACTCCCCCTTTTAAAATTATGCATTAGTTTCTTTTACAATAATAGGCTCTAAACATTGTAAACTCATTTCTAGAATGTTTGCCCATTTGTTTGAAATTTATCGGATAATATATTCCATTTCACAGGATACAAAGATAATTTTCCCTTTAACTCACAATTATTTATTCTCAGATCTTTATTTTGGTTTTACATAGATTTGTTTTCAGTTAAAAATTCATTCAGTTAAAGCAATGATGGCATCTTATTTTTAAGCAGAAAGAATAACATTTATCCAAAACAAATTTTATAAAATAGAAAAATAGCATTTATTTAATTGAGTGAAGAATCTTTTTTATATTTTAAGATATATCATAAGTACCAAATTTCTTGGAATCTGCAAATTTTAGTATTTGCATGTTAAAAATCACATTATGTAAAAATTTCATGTCTAAAAAAAACACTTAATCAGTCTTTCACACTAAATAACATATAGAAAGATTTTTAATCTTGCAAGTATGTGATAAAATAAGGGTGCCTAACCTGTAAACGAACTAAGATTGTTTATTTTGACTCCAAGGAAATTACGTGCTTTGAAACAAATCTAATTATTTGTTGGAGATAAACAAACATGACACTCAAAAAAAAAGTTCAATTTTCTGATCTCATTATTTTGTTTAACGCGTTTAACGAGAAGAGCTGATAGATGTCAAATTTCCTGGATGTTTGTAAGACTGAATATTACAGTGATATTTTTTAACCTAAAGTATTCTAGAAAATGAATTCAGGTCACAAAGATTCTATTGTACTTGCCATTTATAATAACAAAGGCTGATACTATATGTGAACTGAAATTTTGCACTTTTTTTAACCAGTATAGGTAATAATAATAGTCATAATATATAATAAAATTAATAATATAATTATTATACAAATGTATAATTGTATTATATACATATACAATGACAAATAATATAATTATAATATAATATAAATATTGTATTATATAGTATTTGTAATGTAATGTACATGATAATACAATAATATTATACACTTACACATGATGACAATAATTATTATGGCAACAGCAAATATTTCTTGAGCATTTATCTTATACCATTCTATTCAAAATATGCTATAGGAATCATCACTTTTAATCTTCATTACAATTTTATAAAGTAAAGGAAATTATAGTTCCAATTTAAAGATAAGAAAACCTAGACACAGAGAGGTAGATAAACTGATGGAGTCTATCTCTTTATCATGTACAGAGATTTGATATCATAATTAAATTCCTTTTCATGGTTAATAAACAGTTGCTATGTCATGATTCACATTCATGAAAAATGCAAGTATTTATCATTTCCTCTTTGACCAAGAAGGGAATTCCTGCAGTTGAGTTGTTCAATCAGCAAACTGTATTGAAAGAACTGGAGAAAGAATAGCACAGTTATACTGTCATAGGATTACCTTATGGGTATAACTTTTTCACTTGCATCTCACTTTATGCGAGTGAGATGCATCTCACCTAAAATGCAACCACTGTTAAGCATTCATTTCATTACGTTTACCAAAGCAGTAGAATATCCACTTATGAGAATTGTGCAAACAGAGAACAAAGATCACAAAATGATTTGATGTATGTGGCTGTTTTAAGACCTTAAAGGGACCATTTGTGTGAATGATGGCTTTCCCAACTTATACCCTGATAAACTTTCGGTTTAACAGTTTAACATAACCTATTTGTTGTAGCCATAACTTGGTACATGATTAAAATTAATTTTTAATTTGGTAATTGTGGCAGAAACTGTGTTAACATATTGAAATACGATATCAATGCAAGTCAGAAACTGGGTCAGCCTTCAATCTATTCCTTACCCTCTAATTTTACAGAGCATGCTCATTCCCTCTTCATGCTATTTCCAATCAACTACGTGCTCTGTAAAGGAAAGTCTTTCTAAGAAAGAAACAAATACCCATTTTCAATGTTTGGGGGCATCCGTGAACTGTTTCTAATTTGGGCATTAGATTTTGCAATGGAGAAATGAAAGAAAAGAAATAATTTTGAAGATGGGTTGACCAAAAGGAAGAGTAAAATAGATTCAAATTTTAGTTTGCTCTTAAGCAGGAATAACCAATCAGGAGGTATGACTGTAGCATGTGATGCTGTAGTATAATATAATTGTGGCTTGACTTTTAATGGTAAAAGGGGACAGACACAAAAGTAATATGGCTATTAAGGGACATGAATAGTAGGTAGGACAAACAAGAAAAATATATATATATATATATAAAATGTAGGTCAGTGTCCATCTAGCCATGACAGCAAAGATGACACACAACACATGAGAAAGGAAATCCCAGCCATCATACCAGGCATAGAAGTTGAGACAGAAGAAGAAAATATGAACAAGAATACCTGGAACCTGCTCCCTACCTCCAGGGCAGAAACAACAATATCATAATGTGGTTGATTTCACAGTGAGAATGAATCAGTTTGCTGCTTGAGTTTTAACCATACTTCCTCATGTAGGTAGCTGACTTAAAATATGCTTTACTCTCTCCAAAACTAAACAAGTATTTGGTAGGGGTGGGTGGAAAGATACACAGATTTGATAAATGGATAGATAAATACATAGACAGATAAGATAGATACATGAGATATTGGATAGATTGAGTAGATAGAGAGAGAGACAGAGAGAGAGAGAGAGGTGGCAGATTAGATAGATGAGGCAGAGAGACAGGTAGGTAGATAGATAGATAGATGCATTGACAGATAGATGATAGATAGATGGATGGATGGATGGATGATAGGTAGATATAATAGATATAGATAGATGATAGATACATAGATACATACATACATACATAGATACATAATATGATGGATGAATTGATAGATACTTAAAGAGCATAGATGGATGCATGGATAGGCAGACGGATAGATGACAGATATAATCGATAGATATGATGGATGAATATATAGATAGATATGACAGAGGGATATATAGTTTGATTGATATGTGTACTTATATATCATATAAAATGAATGTCTCCAATAAAGAATTATCTATCTTTTCATAGTTCATATAACAAAAAAGCCAACAACAATGGTACAGGTTGAGAAATTGTTTTGTGGTTAAACAATGTAAATATTAACCTAATAGCACCCAGGTAGTTTCTCTCTGTGAAAAAGCCCTAACTCAACGAAGATGCAGAGAACCCATGGTCCAATGATCAGCCACAGAGAAAGAGAGCTTTTATATTCAAATAAGACAGATAGGTAGGTAGATGAATAGATAGATAGATAGATAGATAGATAGATAGATAGATAGATAGATGTGGTGGCTCACACCTGTAACCCCAGCACTTTGGGAAGCCAAGACGGGCAGATCACCTGAGGTCAGGAGTTCAAGACCGTATTGGTCAACATGGTGAAACCCTGTCTCTACTAAAACTACAAAAATTAGCCAGGCATGGTGGTGGTTGCCTGTAATCCAGCTACTTGGGAGGCTGAGGCAGGAGAATC